AGAGTTTTTTTTTAGGTACCATCCATTTCAAATACCTTGATACAGCCACAATCATCTGGATTATCGGTGATGACTATTTTATCCTCATTGAAGATGACTCCAAATGGAAGACTTAGCTGACCTTCTCCTGATTCTGCACCACCAATGTCTCGCAAATACTCTCCATCAGCATTGAACAACAGAACAAGTGGTCTGCAATGCATTGTGGGATCGGTTTCTGGGAAAAAGGAAAGAAACTCGCTACCATATTGTGTCCCAAACATATCCCACAGTGCATTGCGTATGCGTCACATGACGAAAAAGCTTTAAAGATCTATTGAGAAACTTGAGGAGTGCTTTACCGCCCAGCTATAGTAGCCTATGACTATTCCTTTGATGCCTATATGTTGTTCTGTATCGTTTTGTTACTCGAAATAAAGTCAAATATTCTTTGAGACCTAGATATGGTCACATGACTACCGCCATGTTGGATGACGGGAGCGATAAACAATAGAAGAGCTCTGTCCAAGAAAGTGTTCTTTTCATGCTCTAAATCTTCAAGGGTTTAAATTCTGCTTTAGCATCGATTGTCTCGGTGTTCTGTGGTTAGTTTTTGATCTCTTCTCCTCGCTACAACTTTGTACTGTGAAGGTTTCTCTGCTTTATACTTCACGCCGTAGAAAATATTCCAGTTTCAGTTTCGGTCATTTCTTTCTGTCTAGGGCGAATCCAGGGGAAGTGCTTTAGGTATACATGTAACATCCATCTGCTATACATGTTCTGACAAAAGCAACCCCCCTTATAAAATGCTGGATCCGCTCCTGACTGTAGATCGTTAATGCAGATATCGCCTTGTGACGCCACTTGCACCTGTTACACGAACCATGGAAGGACGGTATGAATTACCTGTCACGTTTTCCACTACCTCGCCCAGTTTGAATCTTCGCATGAAGATGGTAACCTCCGGGTTTAGATTGAAACGAATGCTTGAGTTTCGCTTGATTGGTTTGCTCGATAAGATGGACTTCTTTTGCAGTGCAACTTTACAAACCTCTTGTAAATTTTCATAGCTTTCTAATATAAGTTGTTCTAAGTTTTTCTCTTCCATTGTTTCACACTGATGTTTCAGTTCAGTGACTTGTTGGATGCTGCCGTCGATGTCTTTTTTCTCGTCTTCATTTGCTGTTGTTTGTTCTGCAAGGAGGCGGTCCAAGTTAGCAATCAAAGCGTTTTGGCTTTCTAGCAGAATCTTCATCATAGCTTGTGTGTCATCTCGAACTTTTGCCTTTGCTGCATCAATCTCTCTCTGAATCCTTGTCATGTTATTTTGGGAAAGTTCTAATTCTTTCTTGTAACCGATAATCAGCTCATTCAGTCGATTCTTGTCTTTTCCCATGAGCTTTTTAGCATCTTCAGCTGCCTCCTCGATGCTGACCTTGTCATGGATGCTGTGTGATGTTGTACCACATTTTTGACAAATACACTTCTTGCAAGTCTTGCAGTAGAATTCAATGAGAGCATTCTTGTGGTATTTCACCTTGCACATGGCTTGGTTGTTGATGTAGCTGTTGACATTTTKTGTCTTGAATTCGCTCCATAGCGTTGCTTGATGGGTTTTTATCAATGCAAATACTGTTTTGTGTTGGTTGATGCATTCATTACAAATCATTCCTTTACATTGAGGACAAAATCCAAACAATATGTTTCGTTTGTTGCAACATACACACTCTGGAAGCTGCTGTTGGCTCTGTTTGTCAGTCTTGGTCTTCATGRCGTTGAATAGCTGAAGCAGCGAGTTGTAGGTAAAGGAGGAAGGAAGCTTCGAGATGTCGTCTCCTTCGATCTTGACTACTACTTTACAAGTTGGACATGTCAGCCTCTTCCTTTCTCTCCTACAAGCTTCGTTCCAACTTTTGATGCATTTAAAGCAGAAAGTATGTAGACACGGTAGTGTCCTTGGATCAGTAAAGATRTCRTKACAAATAGCACAAGTTAACTGTGCTTCCAAGTCGTCAGTAAAAGTGTTAAGTTCCGCCATGTTGATCAGGCAAATTAGACAGGTCAAGAGACAAACGATATCTTTGCTCAATTCTCCGAAAATATTAATTGATACTGATTGCCATGGAAATATTGACAGTTGAGGTCAAACGTACATCASTATGACTTAAAACTCAGACASTAAATGCTGAACAACATGCRARTYACTAMATATAGTTATACTGTAAAATTGGTCAGGAAATGTATGCTATTTGTTAAATTTAGTTGTAGACGTTTTTAAACTGATGTGTTTACTTACAAAATGTTAAATCAGCATTCTACTGGATCTTTAATTGGGGATTTTACTATAAGTTTTATGTCTTATTTTCATTCTTTGTTGGTTTAGTACAACCGTTCATTTTTGTAATATTGTCATATACTTAAGGAATAAAAGACGAAATTCCGTGTTTGATACTCTGATCAAAACACTTGGGATGTAGGGAGAGCACTCGAAAAGCTGGAAACCACTCCGCGTACTTTTATTTCTTTTCTAAAATTAAAAGAAAAAAAGAAATTTTTGACGTGCGCGAGCGTGTTTTGATACTGTAATCAAACATGGTTTTCGACCAATCACAGCGCGCGTAGTATCCTAAATATTTTAGAAACCTATTTCAAAAACGTTGTCAGGGAGGATGGCTTGTCCAATGGAGATTTCACGACCGAAATGAACTATGGTTATGCTGTTTGATAAGTGAAATTTCACTTGCTGGGTTCACTTTGAGTGAAAATGGGGATTAAAAGGAGCCAATCGTGTAACCCCGTTCGACAATTGCCACTCACCATTTTATTTAACAAACTTGTTTGAACTAGGTATATGTCTTTACTGTATACGGTACATTTACTAGTGATGTCTTCCCAAGTTTCTTTGTTCGTTTGCTTAGTTGTTTGCTAGATTTCCTGCATCTACGATCACTGTTATCATTATTTAGTAGTCATGGCATTACATACAAAGACTGCGGGGAGATTCGTTTTCTCTTTACTTACAATCTATTCATTCTTAAAATCTTTTTTTCATTATTTCGATAGTTTATCGGCATTGTTAAGTATTATTCGTCTTTATGGTCGTCATTATCTTCTTCATGTTCTTGTCCAATCAGTTGCTGTAGAACCGTTTGCCATGCTTTTAAACACTAAAACACGAGAAGAGTTATTTAGATCCTTGAAAAACTACCGAAAAATTACGCAAGATTGCAAAACACCTTCAAGATTTTGCACTGTAGGATTCCATTTTAAACGAAAGCGAAGGAAAATGTTTTTATCAATAAAAACTTGGACGAGGAAAGGTAGAGACATGTAAATCAGCTTTAACACAGGCAGACCATTACCCACCTCATCGTGATATGCCACATGTCTGTCTGCATAATCTGTAAATAATTCCCTAAAATCTTGTTTCTTGTTTTTATGCCATCGCTCAATATCAGCCTTWAGGTCTACGTTTGCGCACTCCATTCGATCATGGCCCGTTTCGACGAGTTTGGAGAGCTAAGGTTAGAAAATAATATAAATACTTCCACTGAAAAAACGTATTTTTAGGAATTTTCATGGGAAAACAAAAAAAGTCCAGTTATATACTTATCATAAAATATTATAAAATATCATTAGTATTTTGACAGCCCAAGCGCGCGCGTTGTTTTCAGAAATGGCGGAAAATTTTGGCAGATAATGACTTGTGTCGCAAAAAAAGCAAGAAAGTGATTTTATGTTATACCATATGTTTGACATTTTCTACCTCGTCTATGTTTGCGTCTAGCTTTTCTCTGCGTTCTTGTCTTGACTGCTCTGTGTCTTTACTAAAAAGCGAGCTGAATCTCCCGCCTCCCCCTCCACTTGCTGGCTTGTCAAGCTACATGGATAAACATATATTGATCACTGAATCAGCGCATAATTGTATCAGGTTATCAATAATTCATCCAATCAATCATCGTCACAATCAGTAGCTATCAATAAATCAATCAATTAATCAAACCAATTTAACATCATGTCAATCAATCATGGTATAAATTAATGAATTAAAATGTAAAAATATCATACTATCAATCAATCAATGTGAGAATCAATCATTTCATCATTCATCAAGTAAATCAATCAACATATCAATCAATCATTTATGTTTGAGCAGTTGTAAATTTGCATTCAGCTCTTTCTACCTCTTCACGTTCWGCTCTTTTTCTGTTTAATTCTTCTAAGGTGACTTCATACTCCATCTGCACACTGTCGCGACTCTTTAAAGCACTCTAAAAWCAATGAATATCATCAATCTATCACCATTAACTTCAATCATAGGACAACACAAYGAGTCCTTGGATACTAACAAATACCTTTTGTTGACTGACATATTATATACTAAACCCAAGAAATAACAAATTCTCAAACTTACCTTTATAGCATCAGTATATAATACATATTCACGAAGAGGCTCCATGAAATTAGGATCCTGTGCTCTGAGCTGAAAGAGTAAGGCATGATTTGGAAACTCATCTAACATTCTGGTCAGCTTCTCTACCCATTCCCTCCCTTAATTTCCTTACACAGGAATCCCAAATGAGTAAAATCATCATGTTTTTGTAATTAATGTTCATTGTTTCAGTACCAATGTTTTCAAAGAAGATGAGTTTTTCTCTAGAGCATCAGCCATTGCTGTTAATGGGTCTGCCAGTTTAGACTCTGAATTGGCCCATAATCGGAATATGGGAATAAACTCTGTGATGTCTTCAAGTAAATCTAAACAAAGAAAAGTTTGCAAGACAATATTTAAATTGTAAGTTCACTTGATAAATACAAGCACAAAACTAGGAYGCATCTTACCAAATCTATCCTTTGCAATTCTATCAGAGATATTTTCCATGGCTGTCATCTTTTCTCTAAATGTCTTTGTATAGTCAGCCATTTCTTGGAAATCTGGGTCTCTGGACTTAAGCATCCATGATGATGCCATGTTGCGCATGGAGTCTCCCATTCTACTCATTAAACCAGGTCCTGATTTTTTGACTGAAGTAAGCTCCTAATGAACCACAAACACATTYATTGAGGTTAGTTTGGTTAATGTAACAATTATTATACAGGATTTCTTAATTTGTTTTCATTCCTTTACATGAACTTCATCCGTTAATTATCATGGATTGTTCTATTCACTTGTTGTGTTRATTCAATACTCTCACGTATCCTGTAAGAATGGTTTCTAATAATTTAAATAATACACATAATTCCTCCCATACTGAAAGACAGCCTGTATCAAAACACTTTCTTAAACCTAATCCTATCTTCCCAGAGCCAAACATTGCTCTCTTACCCATGACTTTGCAGTAAGAAAAATATGTAGATTTTCATTAAATGAAATGACCGGATGATCTGCTATTCTTTGCATAAACTTGTTGAGAGAATGTTCCCTTGCTTTTAAAAACTCTGGTGAAAATCTGTCAAAGTGCTTGGTGAATGAGTGCTTCTCTGGGAGAGGCTAAAACACAATCGAATAAAAAACTAAGTTAGTGAAGCTTTCATCGAATTAAGTTAGTGAAGTTTCATTGAATTAAGATGTACTGTACTCACAGGTATGATATGCGTTTGGTAACTCTCCTGYAACCTCTGCCGTAGCCACAGAAAATCTTGGTATCTCCTTCTTACATTGTATTCAGGGTGATCAAACTGACCTCTCGTTGTCTGAGAAACAAGTGAATGCAKATCATGAAACAAGGATCAATAATAAAACAATAACTAATGCTGATCTAAAGAGCAACCCCAACCTCCACTCCCTAAATCAAGTTAATGAAAAACCCCACCCTCTCCTCCAGCAATCTTTCCAAAAGCATTCCTACCCTACCCATCCCCCGTCAAAACACATTAAGGAATCTTACCTTCGTATTGACATTATAACTCACATAACCACCAGCATGTTTCTCAGGGTCACTAACTACAACGTACAAGTCCTTGACATGACGATCACTTTCCTCTTCATCATTGACTTTTATGGACGACATTAGAGATGAMGTTTGATCCATAAATTCAGAATGCTCATCCAGTTGATCCCCCTAGATGAAAATTCAAAAGAGGAATGGTGAATGACAAGGTGGAGCTCACATACAGTTAAAATTGGTAGAGGTGTTCGATGGACCTTTCTGTGTTAGCAGAAGATCCTTGTGTTTCAATTTTAAACACAAAACCTTTTAGGGTAAGGTTTCAAACATTATATCATTTAAAAGGATGTTGATCAACTTCTAAAATATTATAAAATGTAGTTAACAGTAATTTTCTCTCCTCAAAGACAGAAATATTGTTCTTTCTTGAAGCTAAACARCAGWTTTTAATGGTTTGGTGAAATTAACCAGCAATTTTAATAATAATAGTTAAYCGCTGTTTACTTTATRAATTTATTTKCAGTTTATGCAGCTGCAGAACTTACAGCTATTTTTGTACAGCTGTCTATATTTTTTCTACTGAGATCCCTGATTTGAAAACTGAACAACAACATCCCCATGACTTCGTGATTTAATACCATTGCCATTAGTACTAAATGCTCAAAAATTTCTTTATGGATTACATTTTTAGGGTATATCAATTATATAAAATCAATCAAGAATATTTTTAAATATACTAGTTATCTTGTTAATTTTTTTGTGAGTTAATGTTCATGTTAAATGTGATGAAGGGATATTAAGCTTAAAGTATTTAGAACGCCTTCACAGCAGTTCCGAAATCATAATAAAAATATTTCACGATAAATTTATCTTAAATAAACTGGGAATCACATCAAATATGTGTATTTCATTAACAGTTACCGRCTTTTAATGATGGTATAATGTAGTATTTAGTAAAAGACATTGATTTTTAATTCGAAAATCAGTCATTCAGTGGCAGCGAAGATATCGGCTTTCAAAACACTGCAAGTATCATTCAGATCAGTCAAGTTTTTACGCTAGAAGTCTACCATATRATAAATCTTTTATTACCTCTTCTGCAGAACCATTTTGGTGGTTCTTAAGYGTTTCTTTCTCCTCTTCTTCATCCAGGGAAGACACAAACTGATCGTCATCCATCTTGATCTGATGATGTATTCTAACAGATCAATGATAAGTCGTCACAAAGTCGGACAAAGCTCGGTAACTCTCGTAAATAAAATCATCCATTCCGAGCTTCCGAAACATATCCGATTGTTTCAAATATGGCCGCGAACAACAGCTGTTGAAATTCTCTTCCGTTTTCTTCCTTTTCTCTCAGTTAACATAAAGCTCTACAGTATCATCAACATGGAAGAAACTCACCTACTAGTTCTCGGTCCAGAAGAAGCAGGGAAAACCTTGATGCTCAAACGACTTCAGACCATTACATCTCAAATGAACCTACCTCAAGCGCAAAGACAGCCAGACCTCGGCGAAGCACCGCCAACTATCCCAACAGTGGGTGTAAATCTTGTTAGTATTAACCTTTACCGAAAGAAATACACATTTAGGGAGCTTGGTGGAGCGATGGGGCCGATTTGGAGCAATTATTTCAAAGATGCTTCTATGTTGATGTACGTGATCGATGTTTCAAACMGAACTAAAGTAGCAGCTTCGTGCATTCAACTCCTTGACGTCTTGTCATCAAAACAGACTCAAACACTTCCCGTTGCATTGATATTCAACAAGGTTGATAACTCCGGTAGCATGTCAATAACMGAATTGTTGTCGATCTTAAGACTGARTGACGTGATYYTATGTGCTAGACAGGACATMACTGTGATTGAGACTAGCTTTAGAAATGGCCAAGGAATGGATGAGATATTGAAGTGGTTGAAACTTAAAGCTGGGTCCAAGAAAAGAGGCTCAATTGCTCCATAAAACCTTAAATTTTATTTCAAAGATATGTCACGATAGATTTGTTGTTATTAAAAACTAAACTATATTTAATAGGTTGTCATAGCAACTATATTAATTAATTAAAAMATATTAATGTTGTTAGGAGATATGTTTCTTTGCTTGGTTCTCTTCTCCACTATCTTTTTATCAGAGATGCCTAAATCCATAGCCATCTGCCATATACTCTGTAGTCAAGAATCGGCACAGTTGGTTTTGGTCTTTTAAATATTTTAAAAGATATTATTTTAAACAGTTCATAACGTCCTCAAGTACGGTAGGATAATAAAATCAGCAGCATTAATTCACTGCATATGCTTGAGTGCATTGAGTCCAAATTACCCTTGAATTATGTGTCAACTAATTTCCTGAAAATGTATCTACATCATCTTCTTTCTTTGCCAGAATTAAAATACTGTATTTTCCATCAATTACTGTAAATCAATCTTTTGTTGTTCAATCAATGTGTTGAGTTATCAAACAAAGATGTGGTTCTTTTTGTTAGGCTCMTGTGATCCCTCAATAGGTCTATTCAGTGATTCCTCTGGAACAMCAACCTCTTCACGTYCTCCAATAGCAACATAMCCGTCTTTTGATGTATTATACAAGCAATAGTGTTGYACAATRAAAAGTACRTCAAACAGCATAGACAAAGCACCCAAACCAAACTTAGTAAAGTCTCCAAAGATKGATGACCAGTCATCTATAGTAAAGAATACAGCAAAGTTATATTAAAGACAAGAAATGATAACAAAGAAATATATCTGCATGGATGCTCACCATTGTTATATGCTAATAAAAACATTTGTAATATACTGAAAGATCCACCAGTAAAATCAAGCAGAACATTTCCTATACTCCACCCAACTGTACTTTTTCTTCTGAAGTTCATATATGCCTGCCGAAATGATCAGAAAACAGATTAGCATAATTTGCATCACTTATACAATGCAAAGACTTTGTGCCATAGACTGCACATGCTGTGGGGTCAATTGATCATTACATTGAAAAATACATTATTTCTCCTATATAATGTATCCCATTACCTGAGGTATATATTTGATAAAAGTTACACCAATCTTTATATAAGAAAAGTAATATAAGTAAGTCAGCCAAGTTATTTTTTTAAACAGAGTGACCACAAGTGCAATTGCAGAGAACAACCAGGCTCCACCTACAAGTACTGAACATATTTTGGACAACTTTTGGTCTCCTCTCTGATGAAAAAACAACAACAAAATCTTTAATACTGTATTTAGCATAATAAAAATAGGAGGAAAGGGAAATTGAAATGTAGAAATATGGGACTTGAAAAGAAATTGAACAGTAACTGGTTTGGTTTGATGGATGGAAAGATTGAAGATTGCATTTCGATAGCATTGGATGGATGAAAGATGTGGTGAGTTGAATGGCTGGTTGGATGGATAAATGAATAGGGAATGAATGGATGGGATTTGATAAAATGATGGAAGCACCTACAGCAGATGTACTTACATCATATATAATACACTGAATAATAACTAACAAGGTAGCAAAGACAGCGTGAAGTGTGAAGATGACATCATTCAGCTGAACTGGATTTACACCATCAGGATGTTTTGCTTCATACTGATGCTAAAAACAATGAAATAATAAGTCAAATTTTAATGTTATTCTATATGATTATTATTATCATGACAATTTAAATTGATTAGACCTATCTTTCAAAATGGACATGAAAACCCCTTACTAGTATACCTGAACTGTAGGAACCCAATACATGCCGACATTAAACAGACCATATGCAACAAAGCCAGTGATATTGTAGGCAATAAAGTCAAAATTGAGACCAATAACACTGGAATAAAGAGATAAAATATAAATAGTAAAATGAGAGTAGTAGTAGTAAAAGAGTAAAATATATATCAAAATGATGCAAATCTCCATGCACTTCATTATGGAGTTAATATTTTTACCTTTTTCTTTTCCAATTCAGATAAACCTGTCAATAAAATGTCCAGAATTACAGTTTTCATTAATATGTAATTATTATTATACAGGGTCCGCAGTAATTGGCTCACGCTGTTGCGGTGTCCCTGCCCAAAGCTAATAAATTAAATTAAATTAAATTATTTTTTCAAAAAAAAGTCTGTGGCAAAACTTCATCCTGGGAAACTTAGGAGTCATCGTTGGTCGCTTGTTTCTACTTCCCTACCCTTGGGAACACAGTGTGTTGGTGGAAAATGGTGCTTGTTTGGAAAATCTCACTTACCTGAGGATAAAAAGAAACAGACCACGCCACAAAATAGATCCATCCAATCACAGCATTAATGATGATTAAAGATGGCCAATGCACAATTCGCACAACAACCTTGACATCATGAAAGCTATTTGTACAAAATAAACAGGTAATTAACTGCAAGATCACTGATATTTATGACAACTATATATACTTTAATATTTTCTACTCACTCTATTACTGTACCAGCTTGACTCTCATTTGTCCTTGTAACATTTCGGATTGTAATAATTGATTTTCCAACACTAAGACCATGAAACCTTACTTCACCTATGCAGTCTTTACCACTGGAGTGCTCCAGGATAACCTAGAAACAAAACAAAACGTCAGTAAGTTACTCCTCCTACTTTTTTACACTGTTTAACTTATCTTTTTACACAACTGTAAACAATAGTTTACCGCTAGTTGCCACCATTTAGAAACAAAATAACGAACTGCTTTAGAACTTAACTGTTTGTATTATTTTGTCTTTCAACTTATATACTTACATTATCTTCTACTAGTCCAGCAATCTTAGGCTTACTGCTATTCAAATGTGCGTCCCATTCAGATGTACCAATAGATTCTCTGAGGTAACAAAGAAATATTTGATCAATATATGTATCATAAGTCCCCACAGTAACCCGCTGTCCAAATCAAATCAAACAGTTRGGAGACTAAATTGAAAAGCTCTCCTCCATCAATCAACACAAGCAAAATCTGATTTACAAGATCTTGCACTCACGTTTCTGATCAAACTGTACAGTTTAACTGAGTTGAAGGGGATGTTATATATAATTATAACAGAATATTTTAAAGCACAAATTACATACTTGGCAAATAACTCAAACATTCCAGGATGACCAACTTCTATGTGTAAGTCATCTTTTTGGTCTGTGTAAAGCTGAACAGTTCTCTTTCCTGTTGAAAAATGAATAATAAGTTATAATTATAAATAGCTATCAATCACTAAAATAAAGCAGATTTCATATGACACAACTTGCAGCAGAGACAGAGCACAGCACAGTCAAGGAGCCTCGCTGGTTGTGACTCCCAAAGAAAATAAGAATTCAAGAATACATCACTGTCRCGGCACAGTTGGGGRTGGYTCACAGCAGGAAAGTGCAGTGCTTTTTGCACAGYYCTCCTCTTAATGCAGATACAGATTATATTCTAAATAACAGCCATCAATGAGATCAAACTGACAGTGATCGTGCTATGATATTTTTCATGACGACATATGTTTACTCATAATAGGTACGCTCCTTCCAATCTGATGACATTGCATTCTGGGATAGTAAGGGGGGTCATTCCTTTCTGGGCGGTTTTTTTAGTGCATGAAGTTCAGTGTCAGCTATTTTATACAACTTTGACAGAATATACAAGTTTTTGTACCTAAACATGACCTAATCTATCAAAGAAATTTGACCGCCAACAGMTGTCACGTAAGATCCCATATAAACATAATTAAACTTTGTATATCAGATTTCTTTCTTGCAAAAGCAAGAGCTTACCTTCGGTTCCATCCATAAAWGAAAGAAATAGCAACACAAAATAGAATAACATGACTGGAATAGTGGAATTCCGGTTAAACATACAGTGCAGTAAACTTATTACTTTCTGTCAGTAATTTTATCAAGCGATTTTACTTGGATATTTTATGAAAAAATCGAAAAAGCACAAGCTAGCACTGATCTACAACATGAAGATCATTCTTGTTAGTGGCAATGCACTAGCTATATGACAGTAACGTGTTCCTCACGAGTAAAATARTTTGTCACTGARAAATCACGAGACTTCTCTACAACTGAGCCCACGATTCAAAACAATGAACATGTCATTCTGCGTTATTTTAGTACAGTGGTAAATCGCATAAATTCAAAATGGCGGCCAAGGTGATGAGGTACGTGAAGAAGTCTTGAATTTACAGGTCTTTATTTCCACATTTGGAGGCGATTAAACAACGTTTATGATGACTCTTGATAAGCTTAATCCTTTGGAAGTTTTCTTGTAACGCTAGGTGGAAGTTTAGGTTTTTGAAAGTGTGAATGCATAGTTAAGTTTTCTATTAACTATGTGTGAATGCTGCAATATTTCAATTTGGCAAGTACTCGTTTAAGTTAAATCTTCTTTATAATCTTATTTTAGGAGTATTTCCACGACTTCTATATTTCAGTGCTCAACACTAAGAACAATAAGTGTAAGTATTAAAGTAGTAAAGATCTTTGATGTGAATTTAAATATATGAAAAACTTTAAAATRTTTATAATGCATGTAGGTACACTTTGATTTCATAAACTTCGTATTTCATTTGAAATTGATTGAAATTTTTGTCATTATTTATCTGTTGCATATAATTGCAGGTTACACTTCTATCAAGGCTGAATAGGTAATGCCTTATTCTTCATTATCATTATTATACTTGCAAAGACTCTTCTGCAAGCCTCTCTAGCTTTTCAGTCTTTAATTTTTATGGCTGRGCTTCCTTTCTTCCAATGTGACACGGTTGGCAAAGGTGAAATCATATTTATTGTTGTTTTTGTTTTATTAAATTCCAGTTCATGTAGTGCATCAATGACGAGACTCAAAAAGGACACCTATCCAAGAATGTACAAAGTGAGACTTGTTCAACCYGATGGCTCTACATACTCRATCAGATACCATGAACCACGAAAGATTATTTGCCTGCCAGTCGACCCATCKACACTCACAGAAGAAGAAAGAAAAGAAAGGTTAAGAAGACTTAAACCTGAGAAACCCAAGAAAATCTATCAAATTGAAGATGATGATGGAGACTTTGACCAAAGGTCATGGACAAATTTGATTAGCAAAAAAACTTAGGATTTCTTTTAATGATGCTTTTAATTATTTGTAAATAAATATTTCTTTGATTAACACATTTATTTTTTATTGGTTCAAACTACTTCTTCTTTGTGTGTTGYTTTGAGTTTCTTCTTCCTTTAGTGTGRCTCTTTTTCTTTTCCTTTTTTGAAGTAACTTTTTYATCGTCTTTTGATATTTGTTCAGTTTTAACAATTTCTGGAGGAATGTTTCCCTGATTTGTTGTGGTTGGCRGTGTTTTAATGTTTGCATCAGACTGGTGAATTTCCTTGATGTTAGGATCTTGTTGTAAAGAGATTTCATTGGTATTATTATCATTGCCTTCATTACCATTTCCTTCATTTTCAGCATTGTCAATTACTGGAACTCTCACTGTTATATCAGATTTTTCACTTGTAGTCTCATTAACTCTTTCACTACCAGGCAACATTGGATCTTTTATATCTGGATCAATTCTTAAAGTGACATCCATTGATTTCACTGCATGCTGGTTTCTACCCTCACGTTTTTCTCTTGGGCTCAGAGAGAACCCCACAGCTCTGACTTCAAACTTTGGTTTTTCATGTTTTGAATGACTCGTACTTGAATCTCGTATAGAGGATCTCAAATTCTGTGTTTGCGCATGGTTTTGTTGTGGTTGTTGTTGTTGTTGTTGTAAATGTGTTTGTTGATGATAGTGTTGTTGTTGATGCTGATTAGGTTCTGCTTGCATGCCATTGCCATTGCCATGGAGACCCAAGCCATCACCTCGTAACTCAAGCTCTAAATCCTTCTTGGTATGTTGGGTTCCTGCTTTACTACTGTTGATTATTACTTTCTTGGTATCTCTTGAGGTTTCATTGATRTGACGTCGAGTCAATGTTGGAAGAGGCGTGGAGGGTGCGGTGAGGTTTCCTGCTTCAGGGACATGCGCATTACTACTTTGATCGTCTTTGACTAATCCGGGAGCACTTGAACATCTCCGTTCAGTGGAGATCGATAATTCTTCATGCGCAGTCTTTTTTGATCCTTTGTAAGAGTAATCATTGGGCTTTCTATGAGGCGATATCTTGGGTTTGTGATTGGCTTGGTTATTTTGGTTCCCTTTTTCAGATTCGAACTCTGCATGGCTATTGTCATTTTTTCCATGCTCTTCCTCGTGCATTACCTTAAAATAACAATGATGATAATCAAATTAGTCCGCAATAATGCAAAATCTTATATTTTATAAATGATTACTTACTTTATTTGCTAGCGCTTCTTCGCCTTTCGTTGGTGTAGAATAAAAAGTACTTTTATCAAGATGTCTGAGTACTTTGGAAGGAAAACTCCCWGTGTACGTCATGGGWGGAGGGGTGTCGGAGAAAATCCTTTCCTCAACTGTCATTGCTTGCTTGSTTGGTACAGAAATCGGTGGTAACARGCTAACTACGTGGTCACGACGGGTTTGTTGTCTGTATCGCAGCATGTCGKTTCAGTTCCCTGTTAAAAAATATAAARRATTGAAATGATGTAAAATCGATAAAACAAAATTAGGATAGAGAAGGCCTGCAGCTCCTGCGCGCAAAATRTTTTATAACTAACTAATCACGAGATCAAGTCAATCTGAGTGCGCGTAAAACAAGACAGGACCAGTTCTAGCTCTAGTACTAGTTCTAGCTCTGTACTTTTTTTAGTACTACTGTTTTATGGCATGTCATAATCATTGATAAATAGCAGATACTCCAAATAATATGAAACAGAGCTATTTCAATGAAAAGTCTTATTTGCTTGAAGATCCTTTGAATGCGTGCTGCTAGAGCAACATACCTAGCAACGACGATGACTTCTGTTTTACGCTGCAGATAAAAGCTAATGACTACTATGAAACTAGTAACCGTTCCACTATGCACTGGCACTTGCTTATATAATTTCATTGATTTTAAACAGTTATTGTTAATTTACTATAAATAATGTTATATTTGCTCTCATTATTCCTGTCTGTTTACACTTAAGTGCCTTCAAAAACAAAATTTGCAAATATTAGTCGCTAAAAAGATCTCCATGCRTATCGCCATGAACAACAAATTCAGCCGTTGTTGCGCATTTTTACCACAAGCATTCTCACCTATCCTCTTTTCCGGCCAAGGTTTTCAACCTACAACTTTGAATTGTCTGAAGTTTTGTACTCAAAATCAAACAAACTCCACAAACAACGAATCTATTCAAGAGTTTAGTCCATCATCTTAGTCGTAATGGACTAAACAAAAGAGGTATTATAACTATTACTTTACAACTCCCTAGGGAAATAATGTCCAGTCATGGCTGAATAAAGAGAATATTAATAACACATGTGCCATTATAGTGGGATCATTGACGTACTTATAAGGATTTTACAATGAGTTCAAAATATAATTAATTGGTRAGACTTTATGACAACCTCCTTAAATATTGGGCTCCCTGTGTTGAAATAACGCGTGAATTATCCCATAATGCAGTTTGATGTTTGTGAGAGGAACGCCTGGTAAAAGTGTGTTTTTAGAGAAGTTTTTTGGACATTTTGGTTCAGTTTTTCACCCTGGCTATAATCTCTAGATCTGACCATGGTTATTTAATTGATCATGAAGCTGCTATWAATAGAGATGTCCAACCGCTAAAWYACGAATKTAAGGCAGGACTTTTTGATCTGTGGCGACCCTATATTGAAACTGCCTCCCTCTCGCCCAAGGTAAGTTGACGGAAATGTCTTTGGTATGTYKTTGTCATGTCAYCTGTATTAAACACTGTTAATATACAGCGTAAAAGGAAACGAACTRCKCTMYTGAATGAGCAACAGATCAAAGCAGATGAAGAACACAGCAAGGTATTTTATATYGAKCTCTCAAGTTGAGAGTCTGTTAAAAAGGCTGCACTTCCAATTAGTGAATGAGTCAATATTGTAATATTTCAGATCAAAGATGTTTTATCTGCTTCTACATCGCTTATTGTCAGAATTGGTAGAGAATTGTGTTATTTCAAAGATGAAGTCAAGAACAACTGTCATGGTAAATACGAATGCGGAAGAAAACGTTCTAAACAGAAACCCAACAAACTTCMAATAACCAACTTGTCATATTGCATTATTTTGTATTCTAAACTTTGATGTCTTTCTCCATTAAATTTATRTATAATGAATTGAAAACAAAAGCAAGTAATAACAACTTGTAATATTACCTTGTACTGTAGGTGTTCTAAGAGAGAGAGCTCAGACTTTTCCAGTAACAAAGGAAGTTGTAGAACATGTCAGTGAAAGTCCATCAATGGTTCAGTTACAAGATGGCTGGTACATCATACCACCAAGAGCTGCTTATCTGATATCAGATGTTACCTCTCTACAGCCATTAATTGATTATAGTATGTGTAGTTAAATTGTATACATGGATGGAACTAGTCATTTGAGAGACCTGCATACAATGTATAGATTGTCATCTCTTAAAATGACGTCAATGATAAATAAATGTCTGTATTTTCAGCCAAATTAAARGGTTTATTTGATGTCATTGTCCTGGATCCTCCATGGTACAACAAGTCAGCRAAGAGAAGTGGGAGGTAAGAATACTAAACATCAACAGTACTATATAAATATATTATTTTCACTTATTAATTGTTATTTCTTTTTAGGTATTCTTTTCTATCTCTCTGGCAGATCAAAAACCTTCCCATACCCAAGTTKMTCAATAGTCAAGGTCTTGTTGTTGTGTGGGTTACTAACAARCCAAAATATATTGACTTCACTAAAAGAGAACTCTTTGATCACTGGGGAATAGAATACTTAGCTGAGTGGCATTGGGTCAAAGTAAGATGTCTACAAATATCTTATATTACATTGTCATCAGTTAGTAGCTGTTGCTGTTTTATTCTACCAGGTCACAAAAACTGGACAGTTGGTTGTTGATTTAGATTCAAAGCATAAGAGACCTTATGAAACACTCATTCTTGGAAGGCTTAGTAAACCTGTAGTACAAGATAGTCCTTTGCAAAACAATACAGAAATATGTACAAGTCAACAAAGTGCTACCAGCGARAATCAATGCACAAATGCACAATACCAGAAGCCCATACCAGAGCATGTGGTGATATGTAGTGTACCATGCCAAATCCACTCTAGAAAACCACCTTTGAAAGGTAAGATATTCCGAAGTGATTGAACAAGTGGCCCATACCCTTGGTTTGATCGTCAAACAAGGCCATATTGTGTCATGTTAATACTAATACCCACTAGGTCCTAGTGGGTATTAGTATTAACATGACACAATATGGCCTTGTTTGACGATCAAACCAAGGGTATGGGCCACTTGTAGGAGTAATTTAAAAATTCTATTTATAGATATATTATTGGATTACATGCACCCAGATGTGCGGTGTTTGGAAATGTTTGCTCGAAATTTAACAGCAGGCTGGACTAGCTGGGGAAATGAGGTAACATCTTCACAAACATCTGTAAAAACACTGTAAAATAGCTTCAAAATGTATACAGTTGTGRTAGCATACATYGAGGTATTTATAAAAATCMAATGCAYTTCTATATACAATTTTTTTWATTCAACAGCAAGTGTCATTGGGTATAAAAACRTGTCATTATCAATAAAAATTATTTTGTRCMTGAAAMATTCAATATTTTTTCTATTATTAACTTTGCAGGTTCTCAAATTYCAGAGTACAGACTACTTTGATAACATTAATGTGTCATCCAAGAAWMGYTGACAAWATRAATTTTGTATATAGTAACTAATAAAATATTTTTTTAATCCTGAAAATAATATACAGTAAAGTTCTGAAATGTGGTAATAATGTAGCACACATCACATCTCGAAAAAAGGTTTTTGAAAAAAGTATTATATAAGTATTAGACCCGATGAAGCTGCTTTGACATCATGCAAGACTCAGTGGTCTTTAGTCACAAAGTTATCATACATACTATATATACATCTTCAACACAGAATCCCTAACAGACAATCACTGTTTCCTTTCAATGTATCACAGTAAAATATGAGGATAAAACTTCCTCACCCTCTCTAATCGTTCTTGTGGAAACCAGAGCAATAGTTCTAATAAATGATTCCTCTCTGGCAATATTCTCAGCACCATACCAGACATTAGGGATGTATTTAAGCAAATGAATTGGGATGGACTTGAATAGAATATCCAGTTCTTGATAGGCTACGTTAGCAGGGTACATCTTTGATGCATTATTTGCATACTGTCCAATGGCTAATGGATTGATGTAAAGATTGTCTAGCCAGGACATGTCACAGGTGAAGAAGGGACCTATTTGGTCTCTCTTGCCACTTGATCTACACAAATTTAAAAATTGATTTTAAAAAGATATTTTTTGTTTGTTTGGAGGGGAGAGGTATCAGAATCCTTCCTTCCTTTTGTTGTAACCTAATTAAACATCATAGTGGTAGCTATACTAGACCTCCATTGGACAGGGATCCCAAAACAAACTGTATATTCAAATACTGACCTAAATATATGCTTGGAAATACTGCGGTCATTGCCATCTATAAGTAGACCATCAACACATCTGAACACAAACTGATTGGAGATTGACTGGAATAGAATTGGCTCATGGGGCCAATATATACACCCTGGGTATAATGCAACAAGACTTCCCCTGGGTACCTCCCCAGAGGTGACAAATAGCCCCTGTCCTCCCCCTGACAGGAGACTGGATCTTCTTTCAACTTGGTAGCCAAAGAATTCTTTCATTACGTGTAAATTAGCCTCTCTTTGGCTGTACTTGTTGAGGTCGCAGGCTTTCTGATCATGTTTATGTAGTTCTCCAATGAATGTTGTTAAAGAATGAAGTAATTCATCAGTAGGAATAATGCTGTCTTGGGCAATACTGGGTACCTCTCTCACTGTCCTTTAATTTATTTGACAAAGAAAAAATGTGATAATCAATAAAATTAAATAATAATCATTCATCATTGAGGATTTATTAATATTATATAGAATTGCACATACTTTGATTATAATATACTTGATTAAGAATTACCTATTTTTTAAGTTGAATGTAAGCCAAGGAACAAACCGATATTTATATCCCCGCCACCACTCCAGCCACCGCATTTTACTGTCTTTACTACCAATTCCCTACATGAGCCTTCAATGCAATGTTTATCAGTACAGCGGTACGCTTCATTAGTCCCAACTTTCCTCGGTTTTGGTGTGGAACGCCTGTAGACACGTGGTAAATATTGCGACAGGAAATACACCGTGAAGTTTCTCGATTTTTTTTCGTCTTACAAAAGTAAAATGCCGAAAGTAAAAGCAGAGAAGAAGTCAAGAAAACACAACGAGAGTCAACCGTATCAACAAGGTACAAATAAACCATTTTTAGGTCGAATTTGTGAATGTTTTGTGTCAGGCATATTTTGTTGACATTGTTGTTTTTTTTTGAAGGTCTTCGCTTTCAAACGGAACACGGACAGCATATCTTGAAGAATCCTCTGATYATCACGAGTCTTGTTGAAAAGGTATCGATATTGTGTCATATTAATCATAGAAATTTAATTTAAGATATGCATACACAGGAAACCCAAGTTGTTGATTGCAACACGTCGATATTCTCTTCATTATTGATATACCATGTGTTTTAGGCTGGGCTAAGATCAACTGATACAGTACTTGAAATYGGACCAGGAACAGGGAATTTAACAGTTAAATTATTAGAAGTTGCCAAGAAGGTAAATATTCCAACAACAAACAACAAAATAGTTTTGTTTTTCCATAATATATAATATATAACTTAATAATGTGATTGCATTTTAGGTCACAGCATGTGAGGTTGATCCTAGAATGGTTGCTGAATTACAGAAGAGAGTACAGGGAACGTAAGTGATGTATCAATTAATGCTTAATTAATAGTTGATATTACCATTTAAATTGTAGTACATCGAGGAGTAGTGAGTGTCAATGATATGTGATTTTGTATGATGTCACTTGAATGACTTGGCAGAATTTCTTACTGCTAGAATTAAAAACTGGATCATCATTTTCTAGACCACTTGCCAGTAAGCTTAGTGTCATGGTTGGTGATGTACTCAAAACAGATCTTCCTTTTTTCGATGTTTGTGTTGCCAATCTTCCGTACCAAGTAAGATGTATTGACATGTTATTGATTTATTTATAACTCATGTATCAACTACATGTAACATATATTTAGAATATTAGCTGGAGTTTCATTTTCAACGTTCTTGTCCTTTTATCTTTTCAGATTTCTTCTCCATTTGTATTCAAACTATTGCTACACAGGCCTTTTTTCAGGTAGTACTTTCTGTTAGCTATATTGCTATGTTCTTGTTATTCTATCTTGTTCTATTTCACTTTGTTTTTTTCGAAATTAGATGTGCAGTTCTAATGTTTCAAAGAGAGTTTGCCCAAAGATTAATAGCAAAGCCTGGTGATAAACTGTACTGCCGTCTGTCTCTAAATACACAGTTGTTATCAAGGGTTGATCATCTTATGAAGGTTAGAATTGACAGTAATCATAATYTATGATAATGTATTATAATCTATGATAATTTATGCTACATATTTCAATGATTAACTGATGTAATACTCTAAATAGGTTGGTAAAAATAATTTCCGTCCTCCTCCAAAAGTTGAATCCAGTGTGGTTAGAATAGAGCCAAAGAATCCACCTCCTCCCATCAACTTCAAGGTAATTAACCAATAAAACAACACAGAATAATTTTGATTTTAGTGYCTCAAGATCTGTTGTATCTTTGCCAATTCTTTTAGGAATGGGATGGACTTGTGCGCATTGCATTTGTAAGAAAGAACAAGACTTTAAGTGCATGTTTTGGGTAATGAATATTGTTCTTTTATAAATCTTCTTTATTTAAGCTTACCATTCACAGTACATAGTGCAATCCAAGACTGAACAATCAACAACATGTACATTATTATTATTATTATTACATTAATGTTATTATTATTATTAAATTATTATTATTACATCATCATTATTATTATTATTATTGTTATTATTATTATTATATGTACATTATCCAACATGTACATTATTTTGTAACCTTTTTGTTTCGTGTTTAGTTCAAGAGCTGTCCTCGAAATGTTAGAAAAGAACTATAAAATGCACTGCTCTCTAAATAACATGGTAAGTTGGATGTAAAACCCATACAGAATTTCTACAATCAACATTTACAGGATTTATTTTCAATCTGTAGATGGTTGATGCTGACTTTGATATAAAAGAAAATGTACAAAAGATTTTGACAGACAGCGGTTATGACAAGAAAAGAGCAAGAACGATGGATATTGATGATTTCCTYGAGTAAGTTTCTGACACACAATCAAATCTATCATGTGAAGTTGTGATTATYACTGTTTCCTGTGTATTAATTAACACAGGTCAACCAGTAATTCGTTTTTTAACACATACATTTCTCTCTGTTTTACAGGTTGCTGAATTTGTTCAATGCCCAAGGATTTCATTTTGCCTAATAACTCAAATTGTACAACAAATAATTTTCAACCTATGTAAAATAATTTTATCCAAGAATTYTGAATAAAGAGAGTTTCATGAATTCACAAGTGTACTTGGTAATAATTGTTCTGCTACACAGGCTAGTAAGGCAGAAATTTTGTTGAAGATTGCACTAATAAAATAGCCATTTTATCCATGAGGAGAGTCAAATGTTTTGGTGYAAAGAGWCATTTTAAAAGACATTATGACATCTTGTGTAGCTTATAAACAGTTATAAAAGTATATAGGGTTGCTGATAAAGTTTAAATTTGTCGTTAAACTGCACACCATTGATCAAACCTAACTCCTTATAAGAAGCTGAATTTCAAAAGGTCTAATGGATTTGCAATATTATTAAGCAAGCAAAGAGTGAAAATCGCATTAATTAGCAATGAAAATAGCTACATTTGTTTAGTTGTAAAGTAGTATATGTGGATCCTTTCTTGTCGCTTTTTGTTACTAATATTTTCACAAACTTTCTCCGTCAGTGAAGGTTACCTTTTAGAGTAATTAGCTTTGTTGATAACTTCATTTGGAAATTGATAGTTTCACTTTCTAAATGATTACAGCAGTCATAACAAAAATATACAGAAAACGAAACAACACGCRCAACAGTCTTGTGACATGTTCACTTCTGCATGTCAGCAAGATTTAACTCTGGTCAGCTGGAAAGTCTTCGAGATTAAAGGTATGTACACGAGCCTTGAAATGCTTTGAACTTTACATGCCTTAACTTTGCGTTGAAGTAGAACTATATTTTTACGTCTTTTTGTTGAGTTTAACGTGTGAAAGACGACGTTCAATCTGTGACTCAAAGACGCAGGTAAACCACGCGAGTCTTTCTTTATGAACTTTGAAACTTTTTCACTGTTGTTTTTTCGTATTTTTCCTTGTTTTAGATGTTACAATTAAAAAGGTATTTTCATTTTTTGCAGTTTATTTTTTTTTTCATGAATGGTGTCTTTCCTATCAATACTGAAGAATCAGTATTCAATTACACAGATTCAAAGATACCGACAAAAAGCGAATATTTTTGTCCAGTTGATCTTTTTGTTTCAAGTTTTCTTTTTATGTTCATTACGACTGAGATGATTGGGAAAAAAACGAAATCAGACACAAAAGGTTAAAGKTATTTGCATTGAATCCGTCACATGTAAGTTCGGTTTTTGAAACAAACGTATTTCCTATTTTCCCTCGTATTTGCGACTGGAACTTACGGACCAATCGTGGAATCTCATCAGACACGATGACGCCACTTTACAAGGCGTAAACTTATCGAAATGTTTCTTTATTCTGTAATCTCCCGCGTAGGAGTCAGTTGTTGTGGTTTCACTCCACCTGTTTAACAATTATTCGTCTATTTACAGAATTCAAAGTCAAAACAACGCATGGTCGACATGAAGTTTAACTCTCTAAGTTTCTTGATCATGCTAGTAGCTTTTGGACTAGCAGAGGCAGTTGGAAAGTCAGCTCAAAGTAATTCCAGTAAGTAGCTAGTAAAATCGTTAGTTTTTAGATYAAAAGCGCGCGTTGGCGACAAGCATTTTCAAATAGAGTGAGATTGCATTGGCGCACTAAGTTTCTGTTGCTCAGTTTGGTAGCTAAACGATTACACTCTGTTGTCTAATTGATTTTATGCCAGTAGCATAAGTCTCAGTAGCTATGGTTGTATAACAAAGAACAAATGTCAGTACGGATTAAAAGTTTGCGGCAACTTTAACTCAAGATTTAGCAATACATCCTATAAAATGTGACCTTCTACGGCTTTCTATTTCTTTTTTTATTTAATATAATTGATTTTTGACAGAGCATTATTAAGAAAAGCAATCGGTGTAACAATAAGGAATGATGATATTTCACTTTCAAGATGAGATCGAGTCACGAAACTTCTTTAAACTATCCACTGACTGCATYATACTCTATAACATTGAGTTTTCTGGGATTGATGAGATCGAATTCGTAGAATTGACCCCACAAAGCTAACGTTTATTGAAAAGAGACACGGACAATGTCATCAAAAGACCTTTTCAATGCCCACTTATCTAAGACCTAATAAATTATGTGCGTCAAGACTGTAAACGCGGAGATATAGAGCTGATAAATGTCTCGTGACTAGTTCCGTCGCTGATCTGAAACACGCGTTTTAAGCGGSCCTTATGACCAGATAAAAACCCACGATTACACAGCTCTTTTCTTGCTTGAATCATTTYCTAAGCGTCTCCCTCAACCGACGATCTTTGAACCGACACAATAAAAAGTACTATTTTTTGTAGCGAGAAAAATCCTTAGAAGTGAAGCTATACAATGCTTTGGTTTGAGTGAGAAATCAGATTGCGGCGGAACGAAAGCTCTTTGTTGGCCTAATCTGATATATTATGTTTCACTTCTTRTGGTCAAACCTTTTGTTTGTCAATGCACTATATAAATTGATTGGGGTCACTCTAATGGAACGCCTGAAATCTTAGGTTCATTGTCTGTTCACGTGATAGAGTGTTCCCCCTATATTAGATAACTTCATAGATTGAGTATCATAGAGAAATAGGCATATGCAGTGACGCCATTTTGTTTCACATTTTTTCTATTTCTCTAGGCTGCTGGGTATCAACCTTCAATCAACCAAATACTTCGATTCTATTCACGTGGTCATCAGCGAATCACGGCGGACTTTACGCAGTAAGTAGTCAAGAAAAGACACGTTTTTAATCATCGTTATCATTTATCACTATCCGATTAATGAAACCACATGAGTCGTCCATGTAGTATTATCATAAACTATCATAATACCATCATTGTGAACGTCTTTTCGACTAGGGTCCTTTCCTTCGTAGGTCCGGTTCTGGCCACTGTACTCAAATCACAGCGTCGCCAGTAAGACTGTCAATCAATCCAGTTTCTTAGCAACACGTCTTGAGCCTTTCACAGTTTACAGATTCGATATTCGCGAAGAAAGCAGCAATTCACGCATTTGTACCATTACCATCAGAACTAAAACAGGTACGTTTCTATTTTTGGCATGTTTGGTAGAGTAAAGACAGTCGGCATAATATGGTCCACATTTTGAGAATTGGTGGGACGGGGTTGTTAATTTCCGGCTATAGTAGGGCCTGGGGGGGGGGGGGGGGGGGGGGGGGGGGGGGGGGTAGGGTGGGGGAGATAGTAGGGTAGTTCTGATTGTATAGTAACGAGTCATGTCCATTTTGTTTAGGAAAACATAAAAATGGCCTTAATACCAAGCGATTCAATTTCACTACAGTATATGTGGAATGGATACAAATTAAGAGACTTGGCTTTTACACCACCTATCGGGCCTTTATTGAATGGGGCTCYGATGACAGTCGATATGTAGGCCTTGTTTACGATGGTCCAAACACCTATACCTGGGTTGTTAAGGATTACATCCCCTTAAACTACAGTTTCCATGTCAAYTTTGAGTTCAAGAGTTATAAAGGTAAGTTATCCAGGAGTCCTTTGCGTCGATTGTGAAGGTAACCACGCCTGTTTATGTGACATCGAGGCTTGGGCGTGGGCGTGGGTCTCAGTGAGTGAGAGAATCAATTTTACCGCGCAGATATTGAATTATAATCACCAAAATAAAGTTTATTATGGAATGATAGAAAAATACATGCTTGATAATATGAATAACGGATGGATATATCATTCAATCAATCAATAARCAACAGAACTCATGCTAATCAGTATGAACGATTATATTACTTAATAAATGAAAATGTATCAATGAAAGAGTAATTGAATTGAAATCATGAATTCAAAAAAAAAAAAATGAAAGGATTGGAATTGATGAAACTGCTTCGTAAGTGTGACAACGCTGCTAAAAGCCTCACAACCGAACAATGAAAAACCTCAGAACGGGATTCAGTCACTTAACGATGATTCCAAATGCATGACTACAACATAAAGCTATAATTATTTTTGCTGTAATTTGCGTGTCTTCCATAGAAAACTGTAAAAGCGTTCACAGCAAAGGCATTACCTGGCCTGGAACGAAGATAGGAGAAGTGGCAAGCTCACGGTGTCCTCACGGTGCTTATGGTATTTACTAAATCTGAGCTCCTAAACTTACTGAAACATTTCCTTATCACTAGTACTTATTAGGACAGTCACCACCGCAAGAGAGAAACTTTCATATCTAGAAAAACGCGAGACGACTGATGCAAACCGCGCGTCATAGCGCAAGGCAGCGTTCATAGGGATTGTAAACTAAGTTCATTTTTTGTTTAAGGTAATGCGACAAGAAAGTGCAAGAAGGGAGAGAAGTTCGCAGTGTGGGAAGAACCAAATTACAGCGATTGCGTCTCGATGGACATCGCTTCAATCCATGATAGTGTACGATATTTTGCAATCGTCTTTTCTATTTTCCATGTACCGTCTGTGTATATCTCTCTGTCGATATGTTGTAATCATACTGACTTTAGCGTGATTCTCATATATCACTAGATTTCAAAAGGACATTCAGATCCAGTAAAGAATGCAAGGAAACTCGTCCAAGCTACAAAAGCCAACCGTCATCATAGATATTCCGGAGAGGATATCAAACTCATCGTAAGCTCCTTGGATATTCTTGCAACTGAGAAAACCATTCATCAAGTGAAGTCAGCAGGAAATCACACGAACAAGGATGCCAACGATCTTGCAGTGGTATGTTTGATTACCGACTGGACATCATGAGTTTTAGTAGCTAGTATGGCGAAGAAGCTTTAGTTTGATAGTGAAGAAGATTCATAAATCTTCACCAAAGTATGTCTTTGCGTTTATTATTTTGTTTATTTTTAGAGCGTTTTAAACGTTTCAAATGGAATTCTTGATGAAGAGGCTTTAGCGTCATGGAAACAGATGCCGAAGGTATTCAATAAAGGTCGTTAAATATTTCCAGGAATCCAGGGGCGTAGCCAAGATTCGTTATTGCATTCATTCTGCATCGCACTTTTTGTCAATTAACTTGTAGTTCTAATTGGCATCGTTACGTTTTTTTAGACCTCCGCTATATCTCTTGCAAACAAAGTTATTCAAAGTCTTGATAAAATAGCGGTTTTCCTGGTATCAAACAGCGACAAACATGACGTCACTGTCAGCACTGATAACGTCGGTAAGTATTTCTTATGTACAGCGGTACTCATAAGACCTAGTGACCGCTGACAAAAAGTTGTCATACATAGGGTAACCTGACAGAAATTGTCAGTATTAAGGGTAGTAATGGGCAGCCGGAGATCGAAAGGTGGCGGCCCATTACTACTAAAATGCCAAAAAGTCAATTTTTAGGTCGTTTTACAAATCAAATTTATATTTCAGCTTGCAAGCATACGTCTTATTGCAGCCGATTTCATTAACAATAAAGCTTTTTCTTTCACTCGTTCGCAGCGATATCTGTTAGAGCAGTACCGAGGGATGAGACTGACACTGGCCAGTGGATATTCTCTACTGATGGCATGCGCGATGGACATTCTTCGAGTGTGTACGTTCCAGGGCCGGTTATTGGAAGACAACAAACGGCACACGGTATAGTAGCCAATGACACTACTGTTGTTGTTGTTCGGTTGGTTAGTTGTTCGGTTGGTTGGTTGTTCGGTTGGTTGGTTGTTCGGTTGCTTGGTTGTTCGGTTGCTTGGTTGCTTGGTTGCTTGGTTGCTTGGTTGCTTGGTTGCTTGGTTG